ACTTTTTGGAACATTCTCCATTTTATTGTTTTGCCTTCAAGAATAACCCATTGGCTATTGTGTTTATTTTCTTTGGGAAACCAAGCTCTGCAGAGAAATCTTTTTTTTTCCTTTCCAGAAGTATTTGTTTTGGCAACATTTAAAATGAGAATAATTTATACTTCTATATTACTGTGACTGTTAACCAAATATTGCATCTTTACTGAATGAGTTTTGTTTTGTTAATAAGCTCATAATTATGTTTATTAAGAAACCTGGTTGGTAGATCTTTCTTGATTAAAACCTGAAATGGGTAACATTTAATTGGTCACTTGTGTAACTGGAAAAAATATTTTTATACTGTGACTGATAGTCAAACAGTACACTCCTCCAGCCTTGATTGTAACTCATTTTTTCTTTGTTCATGGGATCATTGGTTGGACTAGCATTTATTCCTCATCCCTGATGTCCCTGGAGAAAGCCATCATGAGCTGCCAATGAACATTCCCATTTTACTTGAACTAGATCTTTTGCAACTTCCTATTTAGCCCTCATCTAATCTTCCAACCTCAAACCAAATCTATCTTGTCTACATCCAACTCTGTGCTTTGTCCATATGCTTCCTTAATTTAGTCCACAGGCCACTGGACCCTCAACCATACTTTTGTTACCTCCATACTCAATGAACTTAATTCTGACCAAACTGCCCTTCTACCTTCCACCCTTAATAAATGTCACCTCATTGAAAACTTTGCTTCTCATGTCTTAACTTGTATCATGTCTGCTTTATTTATTTAGCAAATGCAAATCCTCAGCGTCAAGAAATTGTCTGACTTGCTGAGTTTCAGGTGATTAAGCCACCACTTAAAGGGGCATTCCTTGGTAATGTGCAGCATTGTTTGTGGCTTTCAGTGGTTCTATCTGTGGATCCAGCAGTCTACAAATGATTTACATTGGCTCATGGTCTCACCTATACTTAGCTTTATGACCCCTAAAGTTTTGGAGAAGATTTGTAGCTCGGGGTGTGGGTGTTGTGGTTGGTCGGCTCACCGAGCTGGTTTTGTTCCGCAGACGTTTCATTACCCTGCTGGGTAACATCATAAGTGCAGCCTCCGGTGAAGCGCCGGTGTGTTTTCCCGCCTGGTTTTTATGACCCCTTCCTGCACTACTGTTCCTTCAAACTCTTTGTTCTATTTATTCTGGCCTTTTGTGTATTTAACCCACTTTTTGCCCCACAACTGGCAGTCGTTCCTTCAGCCATCTCTAACCAAGTAGTTGGTAACACCTATTATCGTATTCTTTGGTTCAAAGTCTGCTTTCTGGCTACACTTTAGAAAAGCACGCAAAGGCATTTAAATCTTAAAAGTGCCATGTAAATCTCTGGTATTGCTGATTTGCCTTAATTTGTTAGAGCAAGCATTTTCAATTTATCTTGATATAAAACTAAATTACCAGGTTTGAGTCTATACATATCAATAACATAATAATTCCTTTATAATAACAATCCTTTTGGTGCTGCATTAGCATTAAAACAGATCTTATTCTCATCTGTTTCTTCTTCTTTTTAAGTTCATAAAACAGCAGCTAGCAAAGGTTCAGCCGTTGCTACGTGTTTACAGCCATTGCACAAAAGGCCAAAATTTAGACAAGTGTTTGTATAATCTGCATTTGTAGGTATGCGTAGAATAACTCTGTTTTGACCAGAGTTCACTACTATTCTGTGCAGCTGAGTTATATTAAACAAAATAATATATCATACACATATTATAATTTTGTACTCTGTGAGCAGACAGCGGGAAAGTTGCAACTGAGTTACTGTTCACTGTACTGTATGGAATTAGAATTGTGCCCATTACCATACTTTATGCAGTATGTGTATTTCTAAAAGGAATGCTTGCTTAACACACAAATAGTTTTTTTGATCTACTGTTGTCACATGTACCTAGATGCAGTGAAAAATGTGTTTTGTGTGCTATACAGGCAGATTGTACCATATAAAGTGCATCAGGGTAGCAGAACAGAGTGCAGAATTGTAGTTTTACAGCGGCAGAGAAGGTGCAGAGAGAGACATCAGAATTAAGGTTTGACTGTTCCATTTAAAATTCTGATAACTGTGGGGAAGAAACTGTTTTTGAATCTGTTTGTACTTTTACATCTTCTGCCCGATGGAAGATGGTGGAAGAAAGTATAACTGGGATGGGAGGGGTCTTTGATTATGTTGGTTGCTTTCCCAAGGCAACAGGAAGTGTAGATGGAGTCAGACCTGCTGAGCTTTTAGCAACTTTGTTTTTGTTCAATGGATGAAAGGCTTGTTTGCATGATGGACTCTGTGGTTTCGTGCAGTATTGGAAAGAGCAGTTGCCGTATGCTGTGATGCATCCAGATAGAATGCTTTCTATGGTGCATCTATAAAAATTTGTAAGAGTCCTTGTGAACGTGCCAGGTCTTCTTAACCTCCTGAGGAAGTAGAGATGTTGTTGTGTTTCTTGACTGTTTTTAACTGACGCAACGAAGATTTTAAAAATTCAAAGGATGTTTCTGTAAGATTTCTCTGGTCATTTGGACTGCAGAAAAGACCATTTCAGTCCAAAGGGAAAAACTGGAGGATAACAGTGAAAGTGTAAACAAAGCCAAAGTAACAATAAATACATTTAAATGAAACATCCCTAATTTCATATAGACTATAGACAAGTATAGTCTTATGCCAAGGTCTATGAAATTTCTATATTATGGGAGGATGCATTTGGTGGCTAAAGAATTGAGTCGTGGCAGGTTTGAGGACCAAATGTTTACAGAAGATTGACCCTCTGTTTTATTGGTTTGTCCTCTCCCGCAACCAGACCAAAATGCTGTGTTAATGACTGAGTGCCAGAAAACTGCCCATAATGCCCTGTATATGTAACTTCCTGCTTTACAATGCCCATTTCTAGACTGCTGCTAAGGCTGCTCATTCTCAAAATTAAATTTCCAGAATTAGTGTTGCTTAAATGTTGCACTGCACAGCACATCAGTATTTTCTGAGGAATGAGAGGTTTCTTAATGGCAAATCATTGTGCTATTTAAATTGTAGATAGATCCAAATGAACGTTAGAAAGTGAGCACCGTGACTACCTGTGAATACCACCAATTCACATCTGCAAGGCTAGGTCACCAAATAAAACCTGTATTCAGGTAGTACATTTATTGAGCCCAGAACCAAGCTTTTGAAGGGCAGTTAGTCACTGTTTTATAAATTGTAGAAGCCAACTTGTACACAAGTTAGCTCTGTTTTCTGCGCTAAAATGTGAAAGTTTCTCCAGCAATTTATCACTTCTAGCAGCATCTATGCAGAGAAAACAGAGTTAGCGTTTGAGTCCAGTAAGCCTTCGTCTTAACACTGGACTCGAAACATTCACTGTTTTCTCTCCACAGACGCTACCAGACCTGCTGAGTTTCTCCAGTGATTTCGGTTTGTTTGTTTCCGATCTCCAGCAAATGCAGTCCTGTGATTTAACAAGGTGTAGAGCTGGATGAACACAGCAGGCCAAGCAGCATCAGATGAGCAGGAAAGCTGACGTTTCGGGTCTGGACCCTTCTTCAGAAAAACTTGTCAGCGATTTTGGCTAAGGTTTAAATATTGGTCGGGCCAGTGGGTGAAATGCTCATTGAAATACGATCCAGATGCAGTACTTTCGATCTGAAAGCTGGTAGATCTGTTTCTTCCCATAGGAAATTTTCGGGTGCAATGCCAGAATAGAATATTCATCAAAATTGAAGGCCGTTGTTCTCGATGCAGTTTGATTCACAAAGAGCTCCGTACGGGGATTATCCAAAGTTTTCCTTCAGCCTATGCAAGTTACCGAAACCGGTTAATATTCCGCGACAGGCCGAAGAGGGTATTCCCAGTGGTAGTGAGGAGCATAATTTCCAGCAGTTGGTACTTTGAGTAATCAATAGTTATGCGAACTTTGCAGACACAAGATTGTGAAGCAAACGGGTTCGGATCCGCTAGGCTGTTTCGGTTTTAGAAATTTCCTCATATTGCCCCGTTCTGCAACAGAAATGTCCTGCTCTCATATCATTAACCACATAATATCGGATATCCGTGGACCGATTTCAAACGCCTCCCCACCGTTTTTTCATTGAACACTTCGCCGGTGGAGGTCGCATGTGCGCAGGCGTCGGGACGAGCGCACCACCTCACGGGAGTTGTAGTTCACTCTTCCCCATCCGACCCAGGGAGACCGACATTCTTGTTTTGGGAAGGACTACAAATCCCGGGGTGCTCTTCGCGCTGCGTTTGTTTCCCCCACCCAATTGGGGGTGAGAGCGGGGGAAGCAAAAGTCTCCTCAACGGCCAGGTCGCGAGAGGACACCACCAACAGCCGCCAACCCCACCTTCCAGAGCGTTTGAATCCCAGCCCTGCGCCCTCGTAATAAAATAAAAGACGATTTTTACTTGTGGTCTTGTTTGACCATAGATATGTTCCATTTTTCGAAAAATGTATATAAATATACATTTATATGTATATCCCCTAAAGATAAGAAAGGTGAAAGAGAGAAAAGGGGGCGGGTGGTGGGAATGAATATTCATGAGAGAAAAGGGGGCGGGTGGCTTAAATGAATATTCATGAGGCACCAGCCGTTGACCGGTATAAGGGGAGGGGAATTGGGGAAGGGGTTGGTTTAAGGTAGATGGGATGACGGAAGGGTTCGGTTTCAGATGGTTGGTAGGGGAGCTTTTGGTTTAAAGTGGAGGGCAGGTTGGGTTTAAGCGATAGTGTAGGGTGCGGAGGGGTCCGTTGAGGGGGCAAGGGGTCGGCTGAGGGGGCGGGGTCAGTTGAAGGGTTTGGGATCGGTTGTGGGGGTGTGGTCGGCCGAGGGGGTGGGGTTCTGTTGTGGGGGGGGGGGGGCTATTGGGACGGGGGGTCAGTTGATGGGGAGAGGTCGGTTGAGGGGGGTGGAGTCGGTTGTAGGGGCGGGGTCTGAATCGTTGATGAGGCTGAGCCCGCCTTCTCCCGCTCAGTGTTGTTCGGCGGCGCTCGAGCGTCTGCTGTTCGTTTATGGCGATAGGAAGCTGGATCTACTGAGGGAGGGAAAAAACCAGTGACACTCCCAAAATGCTGTCATTAGGCCCGAATTCAAGGAGATGAGACGTGTCTCGGACTGGCTTTTGATAAAATAATCCTTCGTGTGTTTTTTATATGTCTGTGTATATTGTGCGCGTGAAACAACAACAAAACTGTTTTGGGGAACATGGAAGCCGCGTTGGTTCGTGATCTCCAGAGAGAGCGCTCGGCTGTTTCGAGGTGTAAAAGCGTGAAAGTGAACGGCTGCGGCAGTACGGTGAGCGCCGAGGAGGTGCAGCGACTGGATTCCTGCAGGGAAGGGGGAGGTGGGTGCAGCGGATCGGGGCAAGTTCCGCTGCCTTCCAGCGCCGCGGCCACCTTGCACCCTCAGCCCAAGCCTGGTAACCGTAGCTGGAACAACAACTCCAACTCCAACTCGCTGCTGTCCAGGAGGAGACTGAGGAGGAACCTCTCGGCCACCTCTTCGTCCGGCCCCGGCCGCAGCTTGGACCGTAGGAAGATGCCGGGCACCAAGCTGACTGCGGCCGACCGGGAGTGGGTCCGAGCCGATGTGCAGAGGGGCTGCCTGCATCTCTACGATAGGCACATGTCCTCCTACCTGAGACCTGTCATCTGCACCCTGGACACCACCGCGGCCGAGGTCGCCGCCAAGTTGCTGCACCCTGGTCGCACAGGGACAGGGTGTATACCAAAGGCAAATGGTGTGGGCATGACCAGCTTGACCCCTTTGGACAACGCTGGCAGTGCCAGATCGGGGACATCAAGGAGCACCGGTGCCAGGCCAGGACGGGGCTCTTTGGTCACGTCGGGACAAACCGAGACATCGAACATCAGATCGTCAGACATTGCTGCTAACAAGCAAGCACAGCCGTACTTGGCTGCTCACGGAAAACCGGGATTGTCACTAGGCACTGCTGCCACTGTTGGCCAACACTTAAATATCGATATTGTCCGTTATGAGAAAGCTAATACCACCCTCGCCCGGTTAGGGACGTCACTGGATAATCAGAACACCACACAAAAAGAAGTAAATACAACGAGTGGCACACAGGTGTACTTAGCACCAGTCACTGCCAGAGATGGACCAAAATCTGATACTGAAATTTACAGGCTTAGGTCTTCATTGAAAAATAATACCAATCAACTGAAATTGTCAAACCATTCTTTCAAATTGATGGCTTTTGAAAATGTTGCTGCTAGACCATCACTGGAAAGCACCAAGGCGCATAATGAAAATGTAAATAGCGATACCATAAATGACACTGTGGTCAAGGTAGAAAGTGTGGACAGATCAGAGTTGAGGAGCGATTCCCTTGCTGGTGAAGGTCGGCTGAAGTCTTCAATTCCTGACACTTTGGGAATGCAGGTGACTGATGGTTTGCTCACCTCAATGGTTTATGTTCAACTTCATGGCGAAACTACCAGAAGGCTGGAGCCACATGAAAACCCCCTTGAAATACAAAATGAGTACCTCTTTAAACTGGGATTCAAAGATCCAAGTAGGGTGCAGGAGGAGGGAATGGATGTTGAAATTGGCTGTCTGATTCGATTTTATGCAGGTATGATTTTTTTAGGTGATATCGATTATTAGCTGTGAACTTCCTTTCCCAAAGCAGAATTGGAATGCTACCTGTTAGCATTGTTAAAATTGATAACTTTTTATAGATTTACTCTCAGCACTAAACTTTTTTTCCTGATGTACTCTGAGACATATTCTGAGAAACATCATTGAATATTTTTACTGTACTTGCAATGACAGTTTAGAATTTTAAAGCAACAAAAACCTTTTGGTTTTTAATTTTATTATTCTTCTAGAAATAAAGGAAAATGGTAGAAAAAGATGTTTGCTTAGCTGCAGTGACTCAGTTTACTGACGTATCTTTTAGACCAGGCAAAATGGAGATTGGGATCACGAATGCAGTTGCAAACGCTGAGATAACAATGGCTACGATGGAACTTGGATGGAGTTATATTAGCTGTACCTCTGCTTTTGTAGGACCTCGGACTCTCAGTTCTCACTGACTGGTCATTGACAATTTTACAGCCTTGAAATAGTGTGACTGTGGGAAAATTTTTGGGAATCACTTTTTTTTTTAAGATAATAGTAGTAGCCATTCTTGCAGGTGGTGAAAAGTGAAACTACAGTCATCTGTAAATGGCAGAAAGGTGAGGACTTATGTTTATAATGTTAGGTACAGTGATTTTAAAAGCACCAACAGTAATTGAAATATTGTTTAACTGACATGAACAAAGTGCTTTAAAGATAGCATTAACATTTACTTCAATAGATGTCGAATATTATAACTGTAACTGTCGAGATTTTAAAAAGAACATGGCACTGATGAAGGCATAAGTGAGTCAGATGTATGTAGTTCTTGTGCAAGTGAATTAAAACCGCCATGAAATTCAAGAGGAACGTTATAGTCCTGTCTGCATTCTTTTCATTTGGATGTGTTGCCTCTTTTGTGTTTGTGTAGTTGGATTGGCATTCAAGAGTGCTTCGAATGTGTTTGTTTTTTAATGCATAGTGCTGTTTCTGTTAAGGATTTAAATAATGCAGTGAAACTGCTTGACTCACTTCCAGAATATGCTACACAAAAGGTGCTAGTGCTGAGGATAGCTGACAACACTGGTGACTACTCTGAGCTTTATTGTCACTACAGATGGTTATTACGTTCTTCCCAATGCACAAAAACACTTCCTCCTACATGATCAGTGATCTTGTGCTTTGCATGATAACATGACAATCTCCTTTGTACTTGTATCAGGTTTATTCGCAATATTTATAATTTGTGCCATATCTGGCTTGCGAATGTGCTGTGAAAGCAATTAATGTGCTTAATGTGTGATGTTATTGAGCTAATCTTTTTGCATGCTTGCTTTTTCATGATCGAGCGTAAACGAAATATTTCAGTTTACCAGACCATGTCCTATAACTGCACCAGTATTACAACAGAATCACAGAATTGCTGTGGTGCTGGAGGCCATTTGGCCCATCGTGCCAGCACCAGTTCTATTACCTAGTGCCAATCTCCTGCCTTTTCCCCATATGCATGCACACTATTTCTAGTAAAATAATCATCCATGTTAAAGATGCTATATAAATCCAAGTAATTAATAATGTGATGACTTATAAGTGTGTAGTTTGTAAAGTATACTGAGGAATTATATGATTAAATAAATTCATACTATTCATCCAAATACAGATTATCCAAATTGGTTAGATGTGCTTCTGAACAGTTCTTGTATATAATTTTCTTGCGTAATTATAACATTCCTTTCAGAACGCCATTCGTTATAGTGAGGCATGTCTGTTTGGTTCTATCATGGGATCACCAATAATTTTTCGTGAAACTGAGGGATGGGGTGGGTGTTTTGTCTCCCTTTGCATGGGTGCTGTTGTTTCCTTCCACAGTCCAAAGTAATGCAGGTTAGGTGGATTGGCAATGCTAAATTGCCACATAATGTACAGGTCAGGTGGATTAGACATTGTAAATATGGTGTTATGGGGGTAGGGTGGGGTTCTGGGTCTGATTGGGACAGACTCAACGGGTCTCTTTCTGCACGCTAGAAATTCTATGTATAGCTCTTCCAAGGACATATGAATATATTTTTCACTAAGTTCTGAAATGCCAGTGAATAACTGTGTGAAAAATTGTCCACATCTTTTAAAGCCTTGAGTGCTTAATAGGTTTGGTAATTATTTTATGATAGTACATCAATTATATTTTAAATAATTGTGGTTTAATGTACAATGGCATTTAAACCAATACAGAGTGGGTTATCTGAATTATCATTTACCTGAAAGAATGTGCGTCCCTAACTGCAGACCAGTAGGATAGCAAAAAGCACATTATATTTTAAATGTGGTTATTGTAGTATAATATAGCCAATATTTCGGTGAATGAGTGGTTAATCCGTTGAACAGATTTCCTAAGGACCAGTTAGTAGAGATATTTAGAAATGTGAGTTGATTTATTTTCAAAAATTAAATTTTGGATATAGTCTTTGAGAGATTTGAGACCTGTTATGTGGTGAGTGTAGCATGCTTGGGAGGGCAAGTGACTTTCGTTCTCCACCACTTGGGATTTTCTTGGCCTCGTGTTTAGGTCTATTGTAGATTAATTGAAAGAGTTATGACTATAGGAATCAATTTCTATTATTGTCTATTATCCACTGGGATGACAACGTAAACGAGATGAATGTCTTTTTTGTCTGACAATTTTCTTTTATTTTGTGTGGTGTGTATTAGTGCTATCTAGCTGTTTAAGGGCCTTTGGTCTTGGGTTTGAATCTTATAAAATGCTCAATAATTCAAGTATGTGATTAAAAATTCCACTAAAAGCTACAGATGGTAAAGACATACAGGCAACTGCAACTTTAGGAATAACACTTGTTGGTATTTGTCTATTGCTTTCAACGAAATGCTGTTTATATAACAGTTGTCTGCAATTACACTTGTGGTAATGTGAAAAGATTACTTGTTTCATCATGGATATTTGAGTATTTAGAGTCATAGAGATGTACAGCACAGAAACAGACTCTTTGGTCCAACTTATCCAGGATGACCAGATATCCTAAATTAATCTAGTCCCATTTGTCAGCGTTTGGCCCATATCCCTCTAAACTCTCCCTATTCATATACGCATCCAGGCGCCTTTTAAATGTTGTAGTTGTACCAGCCTCCACCACCTCCTCTGGCAGCCCATTCCATACATGCAGCACCCTCTGTATGAAAAGGTTGCCACTTAGGCCCTGTTTAAATCTTTCCCCTCTCATCTTAACCCTATGTTCTCCAGTTTTAGTCTCCTCTACCCTGGGAAAAAGACCTTGGCTATTCACCCTATCCATGCCCCTCATGATTTTATAAACCTCTATAAGGTCACCCCTTAGCTTCTGACACTTCAGGGGAAAAAATCCTCAGCCTAATCAGTCTCTCTCTATAGCTCAAACCCGCCAACTCTGGCAACATCTTTGGAAATCTTTTCTGAGCCCTTCCAAGTTTCACAACATCTTTTCTGTTGCAGGAAGACCAGAATTGAATGCAGTATCCTAAAAGTGGCCTATTCCATGTCTTGTACAGCCTCAACATGACCTCCCAATTCCTATACTCAATGCGCTGACCAATAAAGGCAAGCATACCAACTGCCTTCTTCACCACCCTGTCTATCTGTGACTCCACTTTCAAGAACTATGAACCTGCACCCGAAGGTCTGTTTGGCAACACTCCCCAGGACCTTAACCATTAAAAATACAAGTCCTGCCCTGATTTGCCTTACCAAAATGCAGCACCTCCTATTTATCTAAATTAAACTTCACCTGCCACTCCTTGGCCCATTGGTCCATTTGATCAAGGTCCCATTGTAGTCTGAGATAACTTTCTTCACTGTCCACTGCACCACCAATTTTGGTGTCATCTACAGACTTACTAACTATTCCTCCTTTATTCACATCCAAATCATTTATTTCAATGACAAAAAGCAGTGGACCCAACACTGATCCTTGTGGCAAACCACTGGTCACAAGCCTCCAGTCCGAAAAGCAACCCTCTGCCGCCACTCAGTCTCCTACCTTCAAGCCAATTTTGTATCCAAATGGCTAGCCCTCTCTGGATTCCAGGTGATCTCACCTTGCTAACCAGTCTACCATGTGGAACCTTGTCAAATGCTTGCTGAAGTCCATGCAGACAGCGTCCACCGCTCTGTCTTCATCAGTATCCTTTGTCACCTCTTTAATACGCAATCAAATTTGTGAGACACAATCTCCCAAGCACAAACTTATGTTGACTATCCCTAATCAGTCCTTGCCTTTCCAAATACATGTAAATCCTGTCCCTCAGAGTCCCTTCCAACAACTTATCCACCACTGACGTGAGGCTCACTGGTCTATCGTTCCCCGGCTTTGCCCTGCCTCTTTTCTTAAATTATGGCACCGCATTAGCCAACCTCCAGACTTCTGGCACCTCAACAAGGGGCTCAGCAATCACTTTCCTAGCTTCCCACAAACTTCTGGGATACACCTGATCTTGTTATTTGACTGCTGTCAGCTAGCAAGACAATATGGTTTGTTTCACATATTTATTTCAGTGAGTTGGATCATGTGCTAACTTTATGCTGTACAAATCACTTTTGTGTGTAAATCACTGAACATTTGCACTTTGTGTACACATATGGAACTTCAGTGACCATATCATATTGTTTCCCTTTTCAAAGGTATGAATGTAAACAAATGCAATTTTGTCATTGTACAGTCTACCAGAGATTAGTGCCATTTGTTTTTGCCGAAAGGTACAATGAAAAAGTGGCTTGGCAAATGTTCTGAAATTAAAATCTGACATGTCTAGAATTAGGGAGCCACAAAATGTGTACTTCTATTATGGGAGAAGGAAGATAGTGTTCTTTCTCCTTGGTTAAGTAGTGGTGTTAGTTTTTGTTGTTGCAGAGCTTGGTACTGTTAAGATCTTCAGTGTGCTTGTTATCACACGAGATGACTATACTGATGTAGTCACCAGTTTTCTGTCAGTTGTGTGGTGTAATGACAATATTCCTTTGAAAAATAC